CAAATTCCGTCAAGACGAAGGGACCAGTAGCGGGCGATTACAGTGGCGGCCATGAGATGGGCAGTGCAATGAACGTGTCGTAAGCAGCTAGAAGATGGGGATGCCAAAGCGAAACGAAACCCATCAGTTTGCGACTTCGCTGCTTCGGAAAGTGGACCGCCTGCAGCCATTCCCCCTCCTCTGGTACCTTGGCCCAGATGCTTTGAGTGCATCAACCGCTGTACGCTGGAGCCACACCCTAGATGTCCTTAGATGCACGGCGGCAGCGGCGGGAGTGGAGGCGGAGGCGGAGGCTTTCCAGGGATTGCACATGACGTGGAAGCTACATGTCCCTTTGTAGGCTCTAGAAGCAGATCTGAGAGCGGGCTGCCAGCCTAAGTGTTTATGCAATGCCCTTGGTAGCAGAACCGTCTACTCAAGGGCAGCGGGGCTCGCAACGACACTCGCTGCTGCAATGTCAATGGCCTGACGCAATCGATTCCAGCAGGACGTGTAACGATCCATCTCCCGTGGGTTTTGCCAGGGAAACGGGTATTAAGTCTGGTATGCAGGGCCTCGGGACCATTCAGGAAGGCAGCGGCCAATGCTGGGGCATCCCTGTTTGTCAGCCCCTGTGTCCAATCCCGCTTCCAGCTGTGTCAAGCGTAGATTTGTACCTGGGTACCAGAGCCTATCTGCTTGTCGGCTCTAGCACCAACGGGGCCTAGCGATCCGTGATGTGGTGTGAATGGAAAGGACCACAAGCCAATCCACCCCCACCAGTCAGCAGCCTGTGACTCACACGCTCCAACTCTGGTTGGGTTTGTGGATAGACACCTCCAGCAGGCAGAGAGACACTGACGAGTCACGCGGGCCGTGGAGGCGTCGACGTATGTGTGGTGTGGCTGAATTCAACTTGGTTGACTGAATGGCACTTGGAAAGCCAATTGCGCCTGTGGCGGATGTTCAATGCGGCAGGGAAGGGGACATGGCGCGAGGCGAAGAGGAAATTGGAGAATAGAAAGAAAGGGAAACAAAAAGAAAGACCGGGCTGGCAGGGACAAAGCGACGTAAGGTAGTCAGAGATGCATATGCTTCTTTGTGGTGGATAATGGGATGGGGGTGAGAAGGACGCGCCCCTTTCCATCAAGCCAAGGGAGGACCGCGAGCCAGTTCGCTTGCATGGTCGGCACGATACAGGACGTCTCACGCCGCACAGTCCCATTAGCTCCATTGGGCACCGACACCTCTGTTGGCCCTCCTGTTTCACTGGGGAAAATCAACATGATGTTGACATTGGTTTTCTGATGCCCAAGACACTCCGTCACACCACCGGCTGTTTACTCGTACGTTGGTGGTGCCCTCTAGGGCAGGCCCACAGCTGGAAACCCACATGCCGCCACCATCGCCATGGACCAGGAAGCCAGGTGAAGCGAGAGCTGGCGATCAAACAGACGGGCAAGCAACCCGCCTTGATAGATGTCAGGTCTGGTCAGGTTGATCATGATGCGCGCCGTCAACCTGACAGTCGGACTGGAGATGGCCAGGCCAATTTGCCTGTCGGTTACGGATTAAGGTTCGTCGCTTGCCATTGCGCTATCTGCGCTGGGATTTCGGAACAAAACGAACGTTGGGCGCAGCACGCCGGTGCGGATGATTAAAATTAGCACTTGCGACTGTGATTCTGGGAGGGGTACAGGACTCCGTGCATACCTCACTTCACGCTTGTCGCTCTCCAGTTCATCGAGCGACCCAGCCGTCACGCCAACCCAACCCGCTGGTGTTGGAGGGTGCGACCAATTAAAGGTCTAGAGTCGCCCAATTCCAATATTTCGGCCATGAGAGGCGGTAAGCGGATAGCCATCATCTCATCATGTATTTCTCCCGGGCAGCTGGAATAACGCAAGGAATCGGACCTTGGACCAAGACGGCCGCCGGCAGCCGCAATTGGCTGATCTGATGGCCTGAGCCCGCGACGTATGATCGCAAACCCAACTTGTCCATGTTGTGAAGATGGCGCCGGCCCCTTACAGTACGATGCGTCGCTCAATGGAGGGCCCATTAAACATGCACCATCTGGCCACTAATGCGCTTGAATTGGCCGTGAAACGTCATTGTTTTGGGGCCCTCCACATCAAAGCGCAAATGGGCTCTTGTATGCAACCATTCAGTCAATGGAAAGTAGCATCCGTTACCACATGTACAATAAGTGCACTTCCTGGCCAAAGACAAGGCGCCCCGACCTGCCTGGGCAACTAGCCCAATGCAACAACGAACAATGCGAGCATGAAAAGGCCGATTGAGTTTCCCGGGCACTCTTCCATCCAGCAGGCGCACGGAGGAGGAGGTTTCGTCGACTGGTGGCTTGCGACAGATGACCACCACACTTGAGAACTATGGCGGGATGGTACCTCGCAATTGAGACATTGATGGTGTCATGCAAGCAGCTGATTGTCAGGTTGAAGCCCTGGTTTGCCTCGTGCGTTACTTCTGCTGGCGCGGTCCAGCCCAGAGGGACTTACACCTGACTTGGATCCATTTGGATGGTGGGAGAGATATGTTCCAGAGGCTGTCGTAGGCGGTACTCACATCAGACTGGATGGATGTAGTAAGGCAAGTGGAAAAAGGAGGGGTGAGTGGAGTGGCGTCAGAGCTTCTAAAAGAAGCAAGAGCAACGCTCTGGTCCGGGCCCCAGAATCTACCTTGTCCTTAGGCAAGTAAGGTCGGCAGTACTCCGCAGGCGAGCAGAGGACAGGCCGCAAGTATCAGGTACTTTCCCCTCCTCCCTGCTCCCTGCCGGGCAATTAGATTGCCAACACCGCAGAAGATTATGCGTCTGTGTAGGGCAAATTGCAAAAGTCAACGCGCCGGCAGACAGAGGGGGCAATGAAGCGTGAGAACTTGGTGCCTGCTTCATCGCCTGCAATTGAGCCCACTGGGCTTCCAAGCTGCGCCAGTTTCCCCCGTTTGCAGGCGTCTTTGCTCGTGCACATTTCGTCGACGCAAAGTGCGCGAGCGGAGAGCTGCACGTAGGATGGCGAGGTACCTGGGTACATGGAAAGGAGCGTGCAGGTCCACCACGTTTGCCTGCACTGAACTGCACTTTATTGCACTTCGCACGCCCCCTCCCAGCACCCCACCCCCTCCGCCTGCCTCGCCCCCCCCTGCGCTTTACAGATGGTACGAGCAGGTGTTAGTTGTAGATTGCATTTGCTTTGCTGCTACTAGCCGCTGGGAAGTTTCCTGAATATGGTGGTCGCCTGGGTCGTGTTGGTCTGTTCATCTGCCATACCCTGTCTATCTGCGCTGAATCTACTGATGCTTCCCTTCTTCACCTGACAATATCGTATCGTATCGTGAGCTGCTCAGAATTGCCCTTGGGTTCTCTTTGATTGCTCCTTCTCCCCAAATTTCCCTTCGTTTCCCTCTTCTGTCAGCCTCCCGCTCTAGTGCTGCTGCCTTCTCCCATAGCCTCAGACCCGTCGTTTGCTAGCCTAGCCGAGTGTTGGCTGGAAACACACCGACATCTGCCTTCTCAACAACCAGGCAAACACAAGAGCAAGCACTCCTGGGTGTCTGTATATGTCAGGACATCACACCTGCGCTGCCAGTCTCCCACTTATTGTCGCCTTTTGGCTAGGCAGACATACATCTCTTACCTCGCAGCGATTGTCTACTGCCCCCGGCACATATTTCACTTTGGCCTGGGCGCTCGGCGGATAGTCCGCACATTCGCACACACGCGATCAACCTCGTTTCTGTTGCCCAATCAAGCATATCGACAGAGTCCTAGACTGGGGATCATTGAGAGGGGCTTGAGCTGGTCCTGCATCAAGTCTCCGGGTGCCACATCATTCATACGCAACGACAGCCCCAAGTCTTGCATTCATTGCCTCACTGGTCCTTGTCCACCAGCCGATTTCTGACCTTGAAACTTGCTTGCCGGAGGGGTACTTTCGCTCTTTACTCAGCCCTGGGCCAATCTACTGGCCATATTAGGTATCAACGCCTGCCTCGTGTGTGTCAGAGCCACGCCCAGCCGAACAACACATACATCGGCCACCCATCGCCTGTCGCCTGCTGGGCACGGTCCCACAGTCCCAATTGATGTACTTGAGAGGCCCGAGGACCCATGTCCCAGCACCCCAGGCTAATTCCCACGCCTCGATTGTACTAGCTGCATCATCTGCCTACCCCTAGCCCGCATCCACTGGAAGATTGCTGGTCACCTCACAAACATCACGGCATACTAATAGGCTTCTGGCGACGCACATCTTCCCCTTTGGACCACCCTTTCCCTCTTCTTTCTTTTTTTAAACTTTCGGAAACAATAGGTGCGCCATTGCAGTGAGCACGGGTACCACTCTATTCACTTTTCCCAAAGGACAATCAACAGCGCCCTGGCTGCCAGCCCTTCAATTCGTCAATCAACTCAACCAATTAGCCTGAACCCTCAGCTTCGCCACGTACCGTCGACCCCCAATCAGAAAAAACAAAACCAAGGGGCCATAACTCACAATCACCGCGTCTGGTTTTCTTATTTCTTCTCCCCCTCCCCTCCCATCAGACCTTCCATCCTGTTCTTCTCCCTCCCCGTCCCCCGCCCGCCATATCTCCGAGAGTTAGCTCCGGTGCAACATCTCTCTTTATAAGCCACCTCGCTGTGGTCTGTCAGGCAGGCAGACGTAGCGACCCCCCGGCTTCCGACGCACCAGCGTACCCACTGGCTACGTACCTCAATCAATCAATCAATCAATCGGGCCACCCCCCGGGACCCCAGTCGCCACCCTTTTATCACTGCCTAGTGACGACTCATAGTGGTGACTCCCACCACCATCATGGCTGACAAACCAACAATATCATTCAGCCCACAGCCTTCCCGGGCTTTCCACAAAACCCAACCAGATTTCAGCGTCAACAGTACTTCTGTTGCCTCTTTCTCCTCTTCGTCTTCCTTCTTAGCATCTCCCTCACACCACCCCGTTACCTCGAATTCGACGACACACATGTCAATTGCAACAATGGAGACCCCAACAATGAAGGAAACGAAGAAGGTCGACATCACTAGTCTCATGTCGCCTCCCGATCCCGTTCTCGACAGTTTCCATGCTGAGCCCCATCATATAAACATTGCAAAGAGAGCGCAGCCATCTGCCGAGAAGGCAAACCAGCCTGCACCTTTATCACCTCCAGTCTCCCCACGAACCAAGGCTCCCCACGCGACGAGCGCCGAACAACACCCCGGCACCGCGTCCCAGAACAACTTGAACGATCCAGTTCTCTATCCGATCGAGGATGCCTCAAGTATCAATTTGCGAAATGGGTCGTCTCAACCCCCCCTATTTGCACCTACAGAGATCGAGGATCACCGGCGAATCGTAGACGATCACATTCAAACAAGACCCCCTGAGATTTTCGAACTCATCTCTCCCCCAAGGCGGGAGGACTATGACCTCGTTCTTTCTTGCCAGACATGTGTCATGAGACTCTACGAGGCGAACCGATCCAAATGGCTGCGCATGGCACGCGAGCAGCTTAAGGCGGACAACCGTGTTGCTGCTGGGAAGCGCACATACCAATCCATCATGCCCGCAAAGCCCAGAATCGTCACGCCAGGAAAATCAGCCCGGCTACAGCGAACTGATAGAATTTCTAAGCCCCAGCAACCAAATTCCAGAAATAATGCCCCGCGCCCCATCCGCAGCAGCGGCGCCGGTGTCAGCCCCACGAATCCTGGCAGACGATCGGTTTCACGTGCTAGTGCCACTCCCGAGCCAAGCAAGCGGGTCGTTGCACCAAACAGAGAGGATAAGGATTTTAACTCACTTCCTGACTACTGCCCTCCCGTTTCTTCGCTCCCCGATCGCCCCAATAGTCTGAAGGTGGACTGGAAGGGCCAGCCAATTGACCTGAGCAGCGATGTTCATGTTCACCTGCTGCACCCGGATGAAGTTGGGCTGGCTGGCAACCTCAGACTTGACTGCGCCACATACCTGACAAGCAAGCGCCGAATTTTCGAGCGACGCCTCCAGTGCCTGCGAACTGGCAAGGAGTTCCGCAAGACAGACGCGCAGCAGGCTTGCAAGATTGACGTTAACAAGGCGTCCAAGCTTTGGCAGGCTTTCGAGAAGGTTGGCTGGCTTGAGGCTAAATGGGTCCGCCAATATCTTTAAGATTTCTCTTTTTTAAACTCTCAACATGACGCAACGCGATGATGAACACGACAACTCGACTCTTTACTCTATCTGCACTGGGCTCACTGTTTGGTAGCCTCAAATACCCTCACACCTCAACACATCTCGTGCTTCGATCTTTTCGAAGCACAATGCGATTTTTTCCCCTTTGCCTTTTGGGAAGATGTCCATGCAATTTCAAATTGTTATGGCCCGGCTACTCTTTGACGAACACCTTGTGGTCTCTTAATCACATATTTTCACGAATCATCAGCACGTTAGCAATTTTTAAGAGTATCGTTTTGATTGGACGACACAATACACCAGAGCATCGGGACTTCTTTGATACCCCGGAGTGCGACTGTCCCCAGTTAATGTCACTCCACTCCAGCCAGCATTTCTCATGCGCAATTCTTTTGTTTTTCTTTGGTCAATTTGGGTTCGGGATTTTGGTCATCGGTTGCACAGGTTACGTACAAGGATACGCACGGTATGCATGTATGGCGTTTGCTTTATTTCCCCGACCCAGATACAAGGGACGGGTGACAGCCAAGGCTGCAGCTTGGGAGGATGGGCTCTGAGGAGCAGGAATTGATTTAGCCGTCTCATTTTACATTGGATTCAGAATGGCAGCCCAATGCCTACTTAAGTAGTTAGTTATATCCCCCTTTTGTTTCCTTCTTCTATTATTCGGCTGGTCTTCCCCATTGGGAAGGCAGCGGTCGGTTTGGAATTCTTCTCAGTATTTCTTGCAAGCAGGCAAGTGAGATCTCAGGCGCAACCCTGGGATGCTCATGAGAGGGATTCAGATAGTCAAATTCAGAATATTTTCTCCATACTTTGCAGATTTTGGTGTGAGATGGCAACCTGTAGATTGGCCTCGAATTGACCACTTGACTGGCGATGATGTGAAATGTTTGGAGCCAGGGAGAGGACTGCGGGCCTGGCGCATGCTGGTAGCTGCAGTTGCATGCAACATCTGGCTTGGCTTCTTTGTAGCCGTCAATCTGGCATCCGGATGCTGGATGGTTTATTTTAAGCAATTCGAGTACCTACGTACATGGACACACTACCCAAGTATGTAGGTCGGTACCTTACATTGTACAGAGACATGATCCCTCCCAATCGCTACGGCGCCCCGCTTGGCTGCTAACGCGGGCCGCTCGCCAATCTTTCTGCCCCTACTTGACGGGTAGCCTTGCAGCCGACAAGACATCCATGGCCGGCCCATGTGAAGGTCGCAAGAGGTAAGGGAGCGGATCCCAAGCCACACCCCACACGGCAAAAACCGGGTGTATCCACCAACTTACCGACGGGAAGGTTCGACGATTCGATAGGAGAATGTGAGGAGACTTATAATTAGAGATGGGGCTGGGTGCTGGGCGGCTGCCGATTTGCCAGGACACTTTGGAGGTTTGACGGGATGCCACCAATGTTGAAGTTTGTGGCTTGGAAATACTCGAACAGTGCATTTGAAATTCATTGCGAAAATTTTCTCAGGAACGAAGGGAAGGGTAGTAGGTGCGTACAAGACTTGGCTGTGGGCGGGTAGGTGGAGGGGCTGAGACATTCATCTAAAGGGTGACGGTATTTCACATGTCTGCTCCCACAAGTATCATCTTATGCCTTTGCGCCTTTGGTATCATTAAGTAGCTGTCTATGCGGCATTCCCGGAAGCCTTCGGTGGTCGTCTGAGAGCCTACTCCTCACCTGCTTGAGGCCGGTTTATAATAAAAGTGCGACGGTGGTTGACGGACGATGAAATACATGAGGTGACCGGGAAGATATTCTGCAGAAGGAGACAATGTTGTAAAAAAAACACGTAATATACCGGAGGAATGGGGTGCGCACGAACGACCGTTGACGCTTGAGCGGATCGTCGTCGTCCTCCTACAAGGCTCACCCGGCTGGCACCGTCCCTGGCGACAAAGCAAGCTCCCGATGCCAACACCTTATATACAAGTTTCCTGGACATGTCATTCAACAATAGCCCCTGTGGCGCAGTGGTCAGCGCGCTCCGATGCTGCCTTCCCGTGATGTACTCACTCTGCAGAGTGACTAGCTACCCACGAGTCTTTCCATATCTTAAGAGGTATGGATCGAGCATGGGTACAAGGTAGGACAGAGAAGGGGTACGTTACGGGAGCCACGGAGAGGTCCTCGGTTCGACTCCGAGCAGAAGCATTATTTTTTTGCCTTTTTCCCTCTTCTTGGCGCTCCAAGCTTTCCCAGGGCATATCGGTCCAAGTGATGCTGTATGTAGTCTTCTTGTGCGGCAGCACATTCCTTTCCCTGTTGGGTCTACATTTTTTTTTTAAACTTATTTACTTGAAACACAGCTAAGAGCACCAAGAGATTCAAAGGCAAGCTTGACTATCTGTATTTGGGGACCGGACGGGGGAATCTCCTGGGCAGACACATTGCATTCTAGAAGATAGCGAGCGAGATTATCGGAGCCAATCGTAAGTTTGAACGGAAGAATCCCGCCAACCGAAATTTCGAGAGCTTAAGCCTCAATTCCAATTCGCGAAGTTTATAGCAAGTTTTCACCCACACTATTGCATGTGTTGAAATTCGAAGGGGCAGCTCTGCCGACAACTTTTGCTGAAGTTGTAGGAAGGGGGGAGCAATTGTGTAAACTCATCATACCGAACTTGAAGCGTGAGTGTAGAACGATAAAATATTCATATCGGATGGTGCTAAGCTTGAGCACCTCGGACCATGGTATGAGCGCGCAGTTAAGCGTTCCTCCGGAGAAGAGTTTTCATAGGATAGCAAATACAAAATGGACAATTGTTTTATCTCTTCGCTGGGAACAGGATACATTCTAACACAAAACCGAGCTCAAATAAAGCCTGTGCTAAACTGCAAAAAACAAGAAAATGTTTGCGGCGAGGTCGCCTAGACCCTGAACTGCGACGAAGTATTAGGCCCTGCACTACTAACTAGGGAGAGAGCTGGGAACATGATGGCTTAGACCGATGAATTGAAATTGGTCATGTAGATACAGATGAGCCTTTTTAGTATTTGGACTTGCTGCTGGGCCGAGCCTTGTCAATGTTACCTGATGGATTTCTGCCAATTTGCTCCTCCTGGTCTGGTAACGGCTTTAGGGGCGGAGGTCAAGATGAAGGACCAGAAGTCAAGTTATTTACGATAAAAGGTGGGATTCTATTACCACGGAGCGGTGAGGGCCTCTCTTGACAAGCATTGATGAGCACTTTCACTGCCGAGTAACGCTTTCCAAATCGATTAATACCATTTCCTGGATCCAGGCTGACAGTTCTTCACGAAACACCTCAACCGTTTAAGGGTGCTTATGTTCTCTAGGTGCAGCTGAAAGCTTGGAGCATCCCTTTAAAAAATACCTGACCAGGGTTGGCTCTCGAAACTGCATTCACCCTCTTGCCTGACGGGTAAGTTCGACAGAGATTGCAAGCATTTCGTTCTTCTCTGTCTTCCTTCTTCTAAGTCATCCCTAGTACTGTTTGTACATTTTCGTATTGATGGATACTTTGATCTATTCCGCATCTCGACGACACTTGAACTGGCTTCTGGGAATTCCCCATCGCGCCTAGATCTCCCTCCGCCGTCTCGAACCCTACGACATATCCAAGCTTCCCAAAGAACTCGGTGATTACATGCCAGAGCTGCGGACACACCCCGTATGGAATGTGACTGGTGATGCTTCCACAGAGCCGGATACGACAAGTCAAACGTTAGGTAAATCTACAAGAGTTGGTGCTACAAGTACCAACCTCTACAGTGCCGAACGAAATGCGGTGGCGAAGCAAAAGGCTTCAGCAGCAGCCTGCCAGAGTTCAGCAGCCACATGTTGGGATACTCCCTTTGAGAGTAAAGTACCGTTACAGGACAATAAGTAAGAATTGGGAAGTGGTAGTCATGATATCCATTAGATATTTTGGTTGTATGATGAAATTGGCATTCTTGAATTACGGACGTTCTTCTTCGAGGATACGTAGGTCACTGCGTTACTTCCAGCGGAAACCATTTCAACCATTTTAAACTGTTTTCAAGGTCGAATTCCAGGGCTAAAGTAGAGACTTCATGATCCAGACCATTCCTCCAGCTTGTTTGTCAGTACTTGCTTGACTGAGGTAGCTTTGTGACTGCAGCTGTGAAGATCTGGGCGTGAACCTTCCTTTAAGCTTTCACGATGATCCCTGTTTCCCCCCTTCTTCTTCTCCGTCAAGGTGGCTATGCGACATATGGTGGCAAAATGTTTCTATTGACACGCCTCAAGTACAACTGGCTTGGGTTACAAGGGTACCTCCTCCCGGTCAAATTCTATAGTGCATAAGTGTGCTTTCACAAGTGTAGTCACGTTGCTAGCAGCGTAACTTTGAAATCTTCATACGTGTATACGGATCTGCGGTTTTGGAGGCGGCTGTGTTGCCATTTTCGTCCTCTCTAGAGGGTGTCCGTAGTACCTCGAGTATGCGCTTTCTTCTTTTTCTTCTGCTCTCGGTGGGGCGCAAGAATATCTCTTCAAGGCCAAACCTGATCTGGGTCACTGTACATCTGATAGTGTGTGAGGTTAACTGTTTCGCCGACGGTACTTTGTCTCGTCGACGGCATTGATATTACTCATCAATAGGATGTAAACTCTGCATGTGCAGACATTGAAGCAGATGTCAACACGTAGAACTGAAAATCTCTTTTCTTGAGTTCCTTTGGATGAAAATAAGCTAACAAGTGGGTGGGAAACGAAATGAGACGGTAGATTGAAGGGCGGCCATAAGAGGACCACTTTCTACGATGATTCAACAAACAAGGCAGTATGAAATGATATTGATTAATCGTCCTCAGTCTATTGTCCCTTTGGCATTTGTTATTCGCCCTCAATAATCTGATAATACCATTCACAGACTCTAGGATAAGCAGTATAATTTTTTAGTGTCTCAATTTCAATGTCACCCAGTTGGCTGATTCTTACCAATGGAATTGCCATCATGCTCAAGTTCCACTAGGGGTTTGCATTCGCCACATAGGGCAGATCTTGAGATTCGATAGTTTGGGGCATTAATACGCTAGCTTTGACGATAGCATAGATGATATATTTATAGTTCCTTGACTGGGACAAAGCTGCATGAGCTGTGACTGGGCGGAACCTTAAACAAACAGCCATAAATATTGTCTACACCATTACTGATGATCGCCTCGAGACTGACTGAGCTTACGTTGAGTAAAGATGGTGCACACCTGAGCGAGGGTCACGATGGAGTAATTAATCGGTGCTGGCTCGAAGGGATGATTTGTTCCCTAATTTAGGTGTTACAATTGGTTTTGACAAATGATCGCCAGGTATATGATTTTAAGCATTGCCAAGAATGCTATTTATATGTATGATTGTCTGGAAGAAAGTTTAAAAGAAAAAAGCATGGACCAGCTGCAAAAGTGTGTGTGCATTGGGGTTGCAATGGCGACAGTCTCACGTGCGTCCGTGATGAAGCTTTTTGCTGCACCATGACGACGTTTTGCATGTGAATGATCAGCAAGTCTAGGGCCACCTGGTCTTGGGGTCGTTGTCCAGTTGGAATCCAGGGAGACGCGCTGCGCTTCTACGAGGCATTGGACAGGATCGGCCAGCTTAAGCTGACGAGCCTGGTATCTATTTCTAGTCATTCTCGCAAAAGAAAGTTTAGCATCCCGTATCGGTCGAGATAATTAATACAATCTCAAAAGTCCCTATCCAGAATAGCGTGATATGTCCATCTTCATATCTGGGGGACCTTGATGATTATTTGGAGGAAGTGGCAGTGGGACGGTAATCTCCCCCTCACTCCTTGCTCCGCGAAGGAATCGAGGGATTTTGGTACAGTTCCTTGTTTGACGTGTGGAGTTGTTAATTGATTGAAATTGTCTCAGCGGGCGGCCGGGGAGTTACGCCGGCAAATGAGTCCTGGAGCATCCTTTGAGATGGCGATCCCAAATGCCAAGCCATTCGAGACTGGATGGACGCATTACTACGTCGGCCTGCCATTGATCGGACATTTCACTTGACCAGAGCCAATCCGGGCCGGCTGACGCTCCTTTCCGGGAGGCAGCATATCAGCCCCTGGCGCGGGTTGCGCTGGTAATGCGTGGTGTCTTTCTTATGTTGCCTTTACTGGGCCGGCTGAGTAAGAACTGGTTCCCGGTTCGCGCTGTGCCACACCGAGTTTTTTGCTCAATCTCGTGGTGACGTTATATGCACTAACTCTGAACGTTGGGGCTGGTTGGGAACGGTTCTTAGCACCAAGACCCCGGTTCGTGGTCGGAGGCAGCCTACGCACATGTGCTACACTAGGAACACTAGCACATGCGTGCGCATGCTGCAGAGTGCAACTTTGATATGCTCTTGTCATCCTGGCAGTCCTCTTGGCTCGTAAGCCAACGTGGCCGAGATAACGCGTTCATAGGCTAGGGACCCGTCTCTTTCTTTGCTTTTTGCTGTTGTGTCTCCCCAAGCCAAGGTCGGCTGATCCGGGCTGGCATGGCACGGCGTGGTCTAGATGGTGGTCCGCCGTGGTAGGAGGCGCATTGTCTGGAACAGGATCTTTGGGACGTTGGAGCAGAGACATTGATGCATGGTTTTTGTGTTTGGCGGCGACGAATGTGGGGCGAGGCTGCATGGGCCTGGCGGCTGCTGCTCTAGTGCAGAAGGAGCGACCAAACCATGGGCTCGTGAGTCGAGGATGATGAGATGCGACACGAGAGAGAGGAGATTCCCCCTCCCCCAGACTTGACCAGTCAGCCGCTGATGGTGCAGCATCAGCCAAGCCGCTTGCGCCCATCAAATGATAGCTGAATCCGGTGGAGCCGTCACTTGCCGCGCTGGCCGAAGCCAAGTGCGTTTTTGCCTTTTGCCTCTGGGGAGCCACGGGCGCATCTTGGGGGAGCCATGTGCCGCCGATAAGCTGCGTGTCCGGCTTGGCTGTCGTCGGTCGCGGCCACTCACACCCCCAGTCCGTCCCCATCCTCCATCGCTCCCCCTCGTCCTCACCCTCACACCGTCTCTCCTTGTCCAGTCCCCTCCTTGTCTCTGGTCCCTCTTTGCCCCAGCCCTCAGCCTCCATGTCCCGGCCCATTCGCCAATGGTTGTGGACCCTCGCATCAGTTGTTTCGGCCGCCTGATCATCCCACATCGGGGACCCTGGCTGTCTGACACAACGTTTCTGTCGCCATAGCATACCGAAGCCTGCATGGGCCTCAGCTCGACTTGCATATATTATCATTGCGCACTGCCCGCAGGTCCGCCGTAGCCTGTCTCGATCGTCCAGCTGCCTCGCACTTCCTCCGTCGCGGTGACAAGACTCAGCCAGCGGTTCCGAGTCTGTCAATTCCGAGTCCCGCGTATTGTGCGACAGCCAGAATCGAATTGCGACCTCGCATATAATCCATCATCCATCCAGAGCTCTCCTTCGCGATACCAGTCATGTCCAACAGCACCGACAGAGCGCCTTCGCAGGCCGGTGTCCTCGAGGGCCTCAACCCAGCCAAGTACAATTCGAATGATCCCATTATTCTTTTTATTATCCAGGTAGGTCCCCTCGCTTGTCGCGACTCTCTGACCCGGCTCTGTTCTGTTCGCTGACCTGCATGTACTTGCTGATCTAGGCCGGCCTGATCCTCATAACATGCCACCTTTTGCATTGGCCTCTGGCCAAGATTCGCCAGCCGCGAGTCATTGCCGAAGTTGTTGGCGGTATCATTCTTGGTCCGTCTGTAATGGGTCGCATACCGGGTTTCAAGGACTCTATTTTCCCCACCGAATCGCTTCCCGGTCTGTCGCTTGTCGCCAATCTCGGTCTTGTTCTATATCTCTTCCTCATTGGCATGGAGACGAATGTGCGCTTCCTTATTAGCAACTGGCGCATTGCCTCCGCCGTCGCAGTGGGTGGCCTGGCTCTCCCCTTCGGTCTTGGATGCGCCCTGGCCTGGGGTCTCTACCACCAGTTCCGCGATGAAGAGGGTCTCGTGCATATTGAGTTCAGCACATATATGCTCTTCATTGGTGTTGCCATCGCTATTACCGTAAGTCATATTTGTCCACGGCGCAATGCAGCATCCATCGTGACCAAATCCGAGCTGACCCCGACGCTAGGCCTTCCCAGTGTTGTGCAGAATCCTGACTGAGCTCAATCTTCTCTCGACTACGGCTGGCATTATCACCCTCTCTGCTGGTGTCGCGAACGATGTCATTGGTACGTTTTGCCCGCCAAATGCTGGTGTTACGTGAACACAGGCAGCTAATCACATTGCTTCCCCTCTAGGCTGGATTCTCCTTGCTCTTTGCGTAACTCTGGCAAACGCTGGCAACGGGCTCACCTCCCTCTACATTCTGCTCTGCTGTCTGGGGTACCTTCTCCTTCTTCTCTATGTCATAAAGCCTTTGCTCTACAGGTTCATCAAGTGGATGGGCAACCTCGAGACCGGCCCCTCACAGAGTGTCATTGCTCTCATTCTTCTCGTCGCTCTTGCCTCTGCCTTCTTCACCGGTATCATTGGAGTCCACCCCATCTTCGGTGGATTCATGGTTGGTCTGATCGTTCCTCGTGACAATGGATTTGCCCTCAAAGTCACCGAGAAGCTTGAGGATGTGATCGGTGCTCTTTTCTTGCCACTTTATTTCACCTTGTCCGGTCTTAAGACAAATCTGGGGTTGCTTGACAACGGCATCACCTGGGGATATGTCTTTGCTGTTACTCTCACCGCGTTTTTCAGTAAGATCATCGGCGCAACTCTTGCTGCTCGTTTTAGCGGTATCGTCTGGCGCGAATCCTTCACCATTGGCGCTCTTATGAGTTGCAAGGGTTTGGTGGAATTGATTGTCCTGGTATGTATATGAACCCTGCTTTGCCAATTTGAGAGCTGTGACTAACCGTCTTATAGAACATTGGTCTGCAAGCCAAGATCTTGAGCACCAGGACCTTCACTATTTTTGTCGTCATGGCTCTTCTCACAACCTTTATAACCACCCCCCTTGTGACTTTCCTCTACCCCGTTTGGTACCAGGAGAAGCTGGCCGCCTGGAAGAGGGGCGAGATTGAATGGGATGAGACAAGACAACCCAGTCAGACGACCGACGATGCTATTACCTCCAAGGACATTCCTTCCAACAACCGAGTGAATCAGCTCATGGTGTACCTCCGGCTTGATAACCTTCCGGGTCTGCTGAACCTCGTATCTCTGTTTGGCAACGAGGCAACAATTGATGATTATCAGACCGACGACAGCAACAACCATGGCGCTTTCTCCCCAGAGAAGGCCCCGGCTGCTCCACCTGTGAGGTCGGTCAAGGCCCATGGCCTCCGTCTTATCCAGCTGGGCGATCGTGATTCAGCCGTCATGACCGTCCGTGACACCACCGGAATGACAGTATCTGAGATTGAAGAATACACTAGGAATGACCCTATCCTCAACACATGGCGTATTGTAGGCCAGCTCTTCCGTGTGGCGGTTTCAGGAGAAGTCGCCACAATGCTGGGTAGCCGGTTCGCAGAAGCACTCTTGACAAAGGCTTCCAATATCTCAGCCGATCTCCTCGTCGTTCCTTGGAGTGGCTCGGGCACTCTGGATGACAGCGCGCAGCATGTCCATGAGAGCAAGTTGTCTTCAACTTACTTGCAATTCACCAACTCCGTCTATGCCTCGAACCAGCGAAACATTGGCGTCTACTTCCCCAAGGGTGCGCTACACGTTGAGGCAAGCCAGCCCGACTCGCCAAGCAGGCTCCAGCGCACATTCTCTTTCAGCGACATTCACCGCGAAATCAACCCTCTTCCCGTAAAGAAGAAGGCCCAGCGCATCATTCTCCCATTCTTCGGTGGCAACGATGACAAGCTAGCCCTGATGCTACTGTACCAGCTCTGCGAGAAGCGTGAGGTCTCTGCTATTGTCTACCACATGTACTCCGATAACTCCGAGTCTGACGACCGCGAGTACCTCCGGGCTGTCTCCGAGTCGGTTAAACAATCCATCTCCTCCCGCGTAGAAATCAAGTTCAACCCAACCAACGATGTGGCGGATGAGCTGGTCTCCAACATTGCCTCCGCCATCCAGAAGGACACCAGGGACACCACATGGAACAACCTCGTTCTCATCGGGCGTCGCGGATCTGCGGGCAAGCTGCCCAATGGTAAGGCTCGAGCCGACGCCCCAAGCGACGTCGTCGACTGCCTTGGTGGCGCTGCCGCCCTCCTCATCAGCTCCGAGGTCGAGGCAGACCTTTTGGTCATCCAGGCCAAGGCCACGGCGTAGTCATTTGTGTTTCATGCAGATCTATCATCGGCATTAGTTAGCGATGTGTTAGTGTTTTTTTTTTTGGAAATGGAATATCCCTATGCCCTTTTTGGTTTTTGATTTAGGCTCAAGTTTACGTCTCCTTTGGGATAGACGAATGCATGTGGTAACAGGTTTACGCATAGATATGGATCACGTACATGTTCGGGTCATTGGGTATCAGGTCAGGTCTACGTATATGGGATTGCTTAGGATAGGCAAATACATCAAATTTCATGTCTTCTAAATCTTCACCTTGTCAGCCCTGAGTGTTATTGATGCATTGCTGGCGTGCAAAGGCGCCGATATTTCTAGCTGAACCTGAGGATGGCCACCCCAGACAAGATATGCTTGATTATTTCACAACACCTGCTATGTCTCGTTCGTCTATTGAAGGAATGTAGGTAGCAATTGTATCAAAATCAACTAATGAAACGCCGTAGCTGGCTGTTTATTGGCAACGACAAAATGAAAACGACGTGAGAGCAACAGTCATAGACCAGGTTTTACACCTCCCTAACTAATCCCTCCAACACGCATTGTACAGATTTTACAAGGGAAAAAAAGAAATCATCAACGGACTCCTGAAGAGTTTGGTCGTACAAGTAAAGCAGTTATTTGTGCCATCTAGTAGAGTTTATACACGCAGCTGTACTGGGATAGATTCAGGTCCACCTCTTTCACCACCTCCAAGCTGATTTTTTTCATCCTCGCGCGAAAACGCATGCTCAAAGTCACACGATGTAAGCAAGGCCAAGATCTCCCGTTCTATTTGGAAGGAAGGCCTTGTTTATCGCACCTCAATATGCTGGACAGCGTTGATCCACTTCGCTTCATCCGCCCTGGTAGAAAAGTTAGTCAGATACATGGACAAGTTAACACAGGGGCAGCAAAAAAGACTTACTTGTCAAACTTGAGCAGCTTCCCTAAGACAGGGACCAGCTGTGCTCGCAATCTGCTGTCCTTTTGCTCCAAGAACTGTAGCAAGATCGTCTTTATATACAGGGTGTCCCCCCCATTTTGCGCGCTTCCGTTGGCAAAGGCGCTGTTGGTGGGCGACTCCATGGAGCTGCGGCCAGACCCGGCTGCGAGCTTCGCCTGCGTGCCCTTGAGCTCCTTGGTCAATCGGTCGTACCGCTGGCGCGCCTCGTCGAGCATCTTGCGCAGCTCGGCGCGCTGCTTCTCGGCGTCGCGTACCTGGCTTTCAGATGCGTCCAGGGCGGTGCGCAGGTGTGAGACGGTGGAGTGCATCTCTGCTGCTTCGGCATCGGCCTTCTCCTCGACGCTTTCGAGCTCCTCGCGTCTCCGCTTCCATGCCTTTTCACGCTCCTCCAAGTCGTCACGCTCGCGGCCGAGGGTCTTGATCTCCCTCTCGAGATCACGAATCTTCGACTTGAGCTCCTCGGTCTCACGTACTTTTCTCCTGGCAACAGTGCTCGACTCGTCCTCGATACGGTCGCGCTCCTCGATGGCAGCCTCCATTCGGCTACGCATTTCCCTCACCTTGGTATCCGCACGCTCGTCGACATCGGCCAGCAGTCTCCGCATGGTCTCGCCTTCCCGAGTTCGCTCTTGAAGGAGGCGCTGAACTTCAACCAGCTCCTCTTCCAATGACTCGGCTTGCGATTTGGCCTCCTTGAGCTGCACAGACATCTCTGCCGACTGGTCGCGCATACTGGTCAGAAGACCCTGAGCGTTGACATACTGCTGGCTCTTGAAGTCTACTTCTTCTTGAGCAGCCGACTTCTCCCGCCTGAGCTTGTGTGCCTGTTCCTCCAACTCCTTGATACGCGGTCGCAGCTTATTTGCTTCCTCCTGCAGCTTCTGCAGCTCACGTTCAACATTCTGCGCCTTCGTGGCGAGTTCCGCCTTCTCCGCCTCGGCCTTCCGGAGATCGCGCCCTGAAACTCGCTGGGCATTCTCCATCTGCACTCTGGTATTGTTCTCTGATGTGAGCTTGTCTTGTAGGTTCTTAACCTCAGCCTCACGGTCGGACGCAAGCTGCTGTGCCCTGGTAAGGTCGCGCTTCATGTCCTTCTCTTTCTTCTCCATCTCCCTCAGCTCCTTCTGCTTGTTTGCGAGTTCCTCTTTAGTGGTCTTAAGAGTAGCCGATTCCTGTCGCAGGCTCTTGAGCTCAGGCTGCGCTTTCTGGAGCACTTCCCTCAGTTCGGTGAGGTCCTTGAAGCGGTTCTGGGCGAGCTGTTGAGCCGCACCGAGATCCGACTTCAACGCAGCAGTCTTCTCTTGGAGGTCATCATAATCCTTCTGCAAAGCAGTGATATCACCCTGAAGAATAGAGTTGACCTCCGCATCTGATGCAGATGACTCCAGCTTCTTCTCCAGCTCCACAATCTGGCTCTGCAACTCAGACTTCTCAGCTTCAAGAGCTTTGATCTTTTCCTTGGCCTCGACATGGTCTTGACCAATGTTGATCAGATTATCCTGGAGTGACTCGATCTCTTCACGGAGATCTTCCTCGGTCTTTCGCTGCTTGGAAAGGCGCTCGATTCGAGCATCCTTCTCGGATACCTCCTCCTTGAGTTTTGCGATTTCATTCTCAAGGGCTGAGGTGTCAGGTACCTCAGGGGCCACTTGCTCCGCGACCTCAGGGGTAGCCTGAGGGGTGGACACACCGGTACCGCCCTTGCCCTTCTTCTTCTTGTTATTCTTCTTCTTTGAGGCTGCCGAGGTGGCCCCGCCAATAGCACCCTGTGTAAGCGCTGGTGAAGAAGGGGCTGTAGCAGGCTCTGCCTTGACGGCCAGAGTTTGTGCGCTGAGCTTTTTGGTCAAATCATCGATCTTGTCCTGACTTTCGGTCTTCTCCTTCTTCAAAGTGTTGATTTGAGTGTTAAGGTCATCGATGAGCTTCTTCGATACATTCTTGGCTGTGGATGCATTGGCCAATTGAGTATCGAGTTCGCTACCGCGCTTGTCTGACTTGGCCAGAGAGGCCTCGAGGTCCTTGAGTTTCGCGGAATGAGTCTTCGTCTCTTCCGCCAGTTTTGCCTCCAGCTTCTTAAGTTGATCTTGCGAAGTCTCCAGTTTCTCAGTCAATTTAGAAATTTCCTTGTTGCGAGCATCGAGTTGGTTCTGAAGGACCTCTTGCGACGATAACGAGGAGCCGCGCGATTCATCGAGCTCTGTAGTTGCCTTCTCAAGGCTCTCCTCCAGGCCAGTGCTCTTCTCCTTCGCCACCGATAGCTCCTGCTTCAAGGAGTCAACATCTTTCCGAAGCTGTTCGATTTCCTCATTCTTGGCGGCGATCTCAGCCTCGTTGTCCTTTGGAATTTCCTCGTCATCATAAGAGAAAAGATCCTCAGCTTCCTCCTTCTCTTCGACGACCATTTCCCTGAAAGCCTCCTGCTTGGGCTTAGGAGAAAACATGCCAATGACCGACATGACGGGAGACTTCACCCTTTCGGCCACGGGGACATCGGCGGGAGCAGCATCCGTAGACTCCCTAGGCGTCTTAGTCTCTTCAGGCTTCGTTGCCATAGATTCCCCGGCCTTGACAGCCGCGAGCTCCTCCTCAGCCTTCTTCAGCTTCGCCTCCACCTCATCATGCTTCTTCTTCATCTCGTCTTTCTCAGCAGATACACGTTTGAACTCCTCCAAAACCATATCTCCCTTCAGGTTCAGCTGGCTTAGATACTCGATAAGGGCGGTTGGGTCGGCGATGGACGTCAGGGGGGTGTTCTCGCGAAGCGCTTTCTCGAAGGGCTCAATAGCCGTAGCCCTCCTATGAGCAATCCTATAAGATCGCAATAGCTCTGCGTGATTCCGCAACGTTAGTGTTCCCATTCTGCTTCATGAACGACCAGCAGGATACATGTAGATGCTCTCACCTGGGTACGTAGCCTCCAGCTTCTCCAGTTTCTTTAGCCTTTGTCGTATCTCAGGGGTCAAGACGGCGGGAGTTGCTGCAGCCGAAACCGCAGCGTCCTTCGCCGCACTCTGGAGACTCTCCTTTTCTTTGTCGTCCTGAGGTCTGTCACCTTCATCCTTCTTCGACTCGGCTTGCCCGGTAGAAGTTCCATTCGGCTCAGCGGGTTCCTTTGCATCTGCATCCTTCGATGTTGCGGATGGAAGCGTAGGTTTCGGTGTCCCGACTCGGCTGGGTGCTCGGCTGGGTTCCTCGCTGTCGTCGATCACAAAGGCTTCCTCGAAGACAGCCGGGTCCGCCGTCGGTGCTGTGTCGAATCCCACGTCGCCGCTCGTCGCCCTCCCCTTCTGTCGCCTCCCAGCATCGTTCCTACGTGTGGCCGAAGCCGACCGCGAATTGCTGCCTTGCTCCGAGAGGGTCCTTTGCCGGGCTTGCTCCTCGGCGATCGTACGGTCGATTGCGCCCCTGATGCGCTGACGGGAGCATGCCACGTTAGCATAATCGAACGGCAGTCACAGCGAGCCTAGGCAAACCGGGAAGGGGGGAAAAAGGGTGAGAGGGGGTCCCTATGGCTTTCAGGCCGAGGAAGGGTGATTCTGGTTATCTACTGACTTGAAACATGGTGGCCTTGCCCTCTCGATGGAGGCTCGCCTCAAGGAATGGATTAATAAATGCGCCAGAGGAAAGGCAGAGAACACAAAGCAAACTCCTATAAACAGGCTTTCTGCATCATCTCGCAGCTCACTGCCCAATCAGGTGAGAAGGGGTAGAAGGCGATTGGCACTCTGGATTTGTCGCAAGGCAGGAGATGGTGCTCTCTCCAAAGTCAAGGATGCTGGCTGGGAGTCTCGTGAACGACACCCTGCTAGTCTGCATAATACGTATTAGTAGAATGCCAGCTGGATACTTTAAACCACATGCGAGACAAAGCCGCCGGTCTCACCTGTGGCTGGTGCGGGATGTACTGGTACGAGCCGACAGCCGGGTTCCCTAGTGGCCCGTCTGTACTCGGTACCTGCCAGCATGTAGGTGCTATTTCGAGCTTGTGGCTTGTGCTGGCCCCTTGAAATTCCCTGGGAGCTTCCCCAAAAGGCAA